GACATCTGCCCGTTTAATAGGGGAAAATATTGCCTTCGTGAGGCTCTACGCAACGCACTTGAGCTTAATGCTCACTTAGCAGCTCGCCTCTGGAACTTCCATGTTGAGTGAATTACGTGCTCCGGGCTGGTAGTGATTAGAGAAGTGATAAGTGCTTTGTAATTCAGTAAAGGGTGGCCTGGCCATTTCATATTTTCCTAAGGAAATTGGCCACCCGATGGCCGGTGCTCCGGGGACCCGGGGGCCAGCTGATCCCAGGCACGGAGCTCGCAATGCTGGATCCCTGTCGGGCCAGCTGCTCTGGCCGGGGCCAGACTCCTCTTGTCCAGACGGTCCCCTCCGAGGCCACTGGGGAGACAGGGTCCCTCCCGCCTCAGGCTGCTCTGCTCCTCATCAGAGCCCTGCTCGCTCCTGCTTCAAAGGCTGCGGCTCCTCGGAGGGGCTGGAGGTTCTACAGTCCACGTGGTTCAGGCCTCATCACTCCAACCCCATGAGCACGGTCTTTTTTTAAAGTTTGATTTCAGAGACAGGAAGAGAGAAACATCCGTGATGACAGAGAATCATTGATTGGCTGCCTCCCAACCACCCCCCACGGGGGAAGGAGTCTACAACCGGCATGAGCCCTGACTGGGAATTGAACCGAGACCTCCTGGTTCCTGGGTTGATGCTCAGCCACCTCCCTACTCCTGACACTTGAACTCTGGCCCATGGGCCATGCAAGGCCTTTGGGGGGTCCCCTTCCCCCAAGGCCCCACCTCATTGCTGCGCTCTGCAGTGACTCCCTGATTGCATGTTGAACGGTGTGCCCAGGGCCACATCCCTTCTCTGATACCAAGTTCAAGGTGTCAGTGGGGCCTGGCCGGGGTCTCTGGGCTGCTCAGTGGACCAGGGGGAGGGCCATGCAGGGGGAGAGCGTGGGGCGTACTTAACCGAGGTCGCTGCCCGGGTCGGAGGTGAGCGAGTGGTGAACGAGACAGATTCGGTCCCTTCCCCATGCATCATCGTTTCAGCGCACACACTGACGACAAACACATAATCAAATAACCCGATAAGGCAATTACCGCTGGTTCGTAAGGCTGTGAAGGACGTAAACAGGGGCTGTGCCAGAGCGCAGCTGGAGGGGAGGGCTCTCCGAGAAGGTGACCTTTGAGTGAGGGGGAGGGGTGACAAGGAGCTGGGAAGGGTGTTTCCTGGACGTTAGGGTTGGTATAAATACACACACACACACACACACACACATATATATTTTTTTTGTTAATCCTTCCCTGAGGGTATTTTTCCATAGATTTTTAGAGAGAGTGGAAGGGAGGAGGACAGACAGAGAGAAACATCGATGTGAGAGAGACACATCCATTAGTTGCCTCCTGCACATGCCCTGACTAGGGCTGGGGTTCAAGCTTGCAACCGAGGTACATGCCCTTGACCAGAATCGAACCCGGGACCCTTCAGTCTGCAGGCCGTGGCTCTAACCACTGAACAAAACAGGCCAGGGTGGTCGGGCCCGGAATCCAGGGGAAGGTGCTGGCAGAAGGGCCAAGGGAGCTGTTCCTACAGGACCTTTGGGCCAAGTCCCGGCGTCGGATTTTATTGTCGGAGCCAGGGGAGTGGTTTGAGGGGTTCGGGCTGGGGAGAGGGCGATGGCTCTGGTGTGGAGACTCAGGGAGAGAGACAGCGGGGGTGGGGGCCAGGGAGCTGGGGATGGGTGCGCAGGTGAGAGGTGTGCTCCCTCGTGTGCCGTGTGCCCCAATCCCAGGTGAAATGCCGCTCCGGGAAGCTAGGCCTTCTGTCTGGGGAGGGTTTGGAGGGTGCTCCCTGACCTTGTTCCTGTGGGGAGACCGGGCCGCTCAGCCCCACAGAGCACAGGGCTTGCACACGCCTCCCCAGCTCCTGGTGCGTGCGCTGGGCTGGATCAGGACGCCAGCTACCATCTGTCCGATGCAGGAATCCGATGTTCCTTTCTGCCGCCCTGGGTCCCGGGCGAGGACGGGCTGGCGTGGTCCCGGCGAGCAGGTGCTGGGGGAGCTGTGGGCACTCGTGGGTACCCTGGAGCTGTCCCCCCAGGGGGGCTCCGGGCACCGGCTCTGGGGCGAGGGAGGGCGGGCACGGGGCTGGCGCGATCCGACATGGCTTCCCCGCCGCCCTGGTGCCTGCGCTCCGTGGGGCTGCTGCTTGGGACAGTTTGTTTACAATGCTAAACATATCAGATAATTGAAAGCTAATGCTGCTGTCTGGATCACTAGACATAATATGCCTGGATAACAAATCAATTTCCTCATCGCCCCACAAGGCTTCCAAGTCAGAGGCACAGCATGTTCCGTGTGCGTGCATGCGTGTGCGTGTGTGTGTGTGCACGTGCTCTCCATCACTGACTGGGTATTTGGGAAGTGGAATTCCAGGCTGCTTTCCCAGGTGCCAGCTCCATCCTTCTGTGTGGGTCTGCATCCCAGGGCAGGATTCGGTGAGGCGGGCAGGGCACCTCGGCTCTGACGGGCCACAGACAGCCTGGAGAGAAGGGACATCTGTCCGCGGCCTTGCTCCCCGAAGCTCAGTGTTCCGTGCCGGGCGGACAGGAGCTCATGTACCAAACCACGTGCGTGCGGAGCGCCAGCTCCCACTGCCTCCTGCCGGGCGCAGCCCCGAGGCCGGGCCCCGGGGCGGCGTGTTAGCGGTGCCACCAGGTGCCACCAGGGGCGTGGGGATGGGGACACTGCCTCCCAGCAGACTTCACTCACCTGGCGACCTCCATCAGAGAGGGGGTGGGAAGCCAGGGCAAACACTACGTGTGTGTGTGTGTGTGTGTGGGGGGGGGATACATGTGTGTGAGGATCTCCTCGTATCCCCTTCCACCCCAGTTCAGCTTCTGTTTATTCTCACTGAACACAGAGTTCCCACCATAGTGAGGGAACCAGCTGCTCACCGCGCAGGTGCTGGGCACGGACCCTGGAGGGAGGTGCGGGCACCGCCTGGGCCAGTCCTCACAGCATCTGGGCTTCCCAGGAAGAAACAGGACAGGAGGGGCTGGACCAACTGGTCCAGCGGCTTTCCAGTTCAGAGTGTGGGGGGGAGGGTCTTGTCCAGGTCAGCCCGCCCCCAGGGTGCCCACTCCTGACCTCTGTGCTCCCAGAGGCCGCAGAGCAGTGGCTGAGGCACCATGGAAGGGGGCGGGGCCCTCCAGCAGGTGCTCAGGGGGTGATGGCCCCCAGCCCGACAGCAAAGAAAGTGCCAGAACACCATTGGGCGGGGATGCAGGAGCCTCAGCTTCAGGAACTGGCTCAGGGCGGGGCCGTCTTGGATGGGGCACACATGCGGGGGGCACTGTGTCACCGTTCAGCAAGCTAGTTATGGTCACCCAGGATCATTAAGAAAATGACGCCCAGCTGGCATGGTGGAGCGTCGACCTATGAACCAGGAGGTCATGGTTCAATTCCCGGTCAGGGTACACGCCTGGCTTGCGGGCTCGATCCCCAGGAGGGGGCGTGCAGGAGGCAGCCGATCAGTGATTCTCTCTCCTCATTGAGCACACGGGCTTTGCAGTTAAGGTTAGTTGTCCGGGAAGTCTGGTTACCAGGCAGCCGTGAGACGCGGCAGTGAGATCGCTGAGATCAGACAGTGAGGGCGGAGCCGGGCCTGCACAGCTGGAGGCAGGCCTTCTCCGTCCCTCCCGCTGACCCCCGGTCTGGCCGAGGCCCCAGGTGACCGCGGTGCCGTGCCCTTCCTGGGCCTCCCCAGCAGCCTCCGTCCCCTGGCGTTCCTGCGCGTACACTCAGCCGCCGGCCTTATGAACAACCGAAACGTATCCACATGACGTGTTTTTAATTAAAATACGGGTCACACAGTCTGCGCCATCTAATTTCTCTGTGCGTGGAGGTTGCCAATTCATTTCCACGTTGGCACGGAAGCTCGGCGGGATTGATTCTAGCGCCGGGGGACGCCGTGTTTTCTGTGGACGTGGCCGTTCATATCTCCCTGTGCCCTAGCTCCGTGGTGGGCAAACTGCGGCTCCCGAGCCACACGCGGCTCCTTGGCCCCTTGAGTGTGGCTCTTCCACAAAATACCACGGCCTGGGCGAGTCTCTTTGGAAGAAGTGGCGTTAGAAGAAGTTTAAGGTTAAAAACTGTGGCTCCCCAAAGAAATTTCAGTCGTCCTGTTGGTATATTTGGCTCTGTGGACCAATGAGTTTGCCGACCACCGGCCTAGCTCTTCCCCGAGGGGTGTGAAGGGCCCATGTGTGGTTTGGGGGTGTCTGCCCCAGACCTGGGCCCCGTGAATGGACGGATGAATGAGTGCACATCGCGGGAACGCTGTGATCCGCTTGTAGATCATGTGAGCCGATGGCCCGGCGGGTACGCTGGCGGGTACGCTGGTGGGGGATGGGGCTGGCACAGGGCCTCCTCCCCCAGGCCTGCTTTTCATCAGACATGGATCTGGGTCCCCACCCCGCTGGCACCAGGTCCAGTCAGCTGCCGGTGGCTGCAAGCTTCCAAGAGAAGCCTTTGGCCTCGGAGCTGGCCACCGAGCTGGCCACCTGGTCCCCGGCCCCAGCAGATGCCCGCGTGTCTGGCTGCTCAGCAGGGGCCCCGAGAGAATGCGCTGCACGTGGCTCTCGGCATAGCTCGTCACCGCGGCCCCGAAACGCTTCCCGCCGCCAGCCACTGCCCCTCGGCCTTCCTGGCTCCGGCTGCGCGTGGCGGCAGATGGCGGGGCCACGGGTGCTGGGGAGGGAGGCGACGTCTGGGGACGGTGGTTGCCACTTCTCGGGCCTGGGTGTCCCGGGCGAGCTGTCACCTCCCTGCACTTCGAGGCCACTGATGGGAAAGTCGGATCCACGGAGGGTGTGTGGGCACTGACTCTGCCTAGCCTCCTGGGGCATCTTGGGATTGAAAACTGCCTGGCAGGTGTGGGACCCACATGGGAACTGCACCCAGGTTTCTCTGGCTCTCGAGCCAGCGCGCCTTTCCGTGGCCCCTGCGCTGACCTGACCCCCGCCTTTCCTCCCATAGACACATAGAGAACTGGCGCGGCCTGCACACGCTCAACGCCGTGGACATGGAGCTGTACACGGGCCTGCAAAAGCTGTGAGTGCGCGCCCGCCCCGGGGCCTCTGGGTGCTGGGATGAGGGGGGGGCTGTCCATCTGCCTCCTGGGCCGGGGGAGGGCACTGTCTGCACTTCTGGGGGTTCCTCTGTTAGTGGAGGTGGCACTGCCCACTCAGGGAATTGGGGGGCTTGAAAGGCCAGCCCCTCCCACTGGTGCATTGCACTGGGCCTGCAGGGGCAAGGGGTCTGCGGGACATCTCCCCCGTGGCTCAGGGGTCGAGGCAGGACCCTCTGCGGGGCTAACGGGCCCCATGGAGCATGAAGTTCCCCTGCCTCCTCCTCAGGACTGCAGTGCTGGTGGTTGAGGGGCGAGGTTTGGGGGTGGGGGAGGCCCCAAGGGGGAGCCCCGCTCTCCTGCACCTGCCAGTCTAGGAAGAGGACAGCTGCCAGCACTGCCCACCCACATCCCGAACCATCCCCCGGTCCCATGGGGGGTGAGCCCGATCCCTCACTTGGCACCCTCAGTGGGTATCATCGGTGCCCCATGGTGCCCAGTGGTACCCGTGATGAAGTGAGTTCACGTCAGCGGGGCGGCTGCCGGTCCGGGCCTGGCCTGGCCTCCTGTCGCCCTCGGCCTGCAGTGGATGTCCCTCTGTCCCCTGAGCTCTGTGACCTCTCTCTCCCTCCAGGACCATCAAGAACTCAGGACTTCGGAGCATCCAGCCCAGAGCCTTTGCCAAGAACCCCCACCTGCGCTACATGTGAGTAGAGCGGGGTCCAGGCCCTGGGTGGGGCTCGCCTGAGGTGCGTGCTTTGCAGCCGGAGGCGTGGCCATGGCCCGCAGGGGGCCCGGGGCCAGCTTTTTCCCGGGTGTTTATTTTATAGGGGACCTGAGGTTTAGTGCAAAGCATCCCAGGGGGAGCGCTTCTGACCTCTGACAAGCCTCCCTTTTCATACTGGGCCACACAAAGGCCACAGAGCCAGTGCCTGCAGCGTGCCCGGTGCGGGCAGTGCAGGTGCAGGTGGGGACCACGTGTCCCTTCTGACGGAGCCACAACGCTCCCAGCTGACGGCTGCGCTGGGAGGCGGGACTTCCTGCTGCGTGTGGAGGTGGGGCTTCCTGCTGGCAGATGTGCTGATTTTTATTTTATTTTCCCAAGAAGAGCTGAAGTTCTAGTAAACCTCTCAGTTTAAGCCCTAGCAACTAAAAGTAAAACCACTCGGCCCCATGGGCCACACAAGCCTGCTGTGGGCAGATGCCATGTGGGCACATGCTGCAGGAGAGTAGCCCTCAGCATGGGGATGGTGGTGAGGGGAGCTCTGTCTCCGCTGGGGCAGTGGCGTTCTGACATTGTGTCGCCTGCAGCTCTCCGGGCAATCGGGAGGGCTTTGGGGCTGTCACGTTTCCAGGGGCCACAGAAGAGGGAGCCGGGCTGCATCCGGGTGACGGGAGCCTCTGAAGCCGGTTGCACTGGGGCGCCTTAGACTTACCCTGAGGTCCCAGACGGTGACCCACCGTCTCTTTGGGGATGATTTGCCCTCTGCTGGGTGGCGAGTGACGGGCCGATGAGCTTTACGAGGTCCCCAGGCTCCGGGGTCAGAGTGTCTGCTGGGACTCAGGACTGATGGACCTGGGAAGTCTGCCCAACCCTGGACCACGTCTACCAACACTGTTGACCTTGGGTTGTCGGCCGAGTCCTCCAGCCCCACTCTGCAGCCGGCTCAGCCCTCCCTGGTCGGGGCGAGTTAACCTCTGGCCTGGCTCACACGCTGGCCGGTCTCCGGTCTGGGGTTGCCTGAGTAATGTCGCTGCACTGCACTCACAGGAGGGCATTTTCTTTCACCCGTAGAGCACCTCATGGTTCCCTCAGTGCTTCCTCCTACGTGATCTCATTTAATGCCAGGAGGATCCTGGGTGGAGGACTGTGGTGCAGCCTCATTCACAGACCCCGAGCCCTGACTTGTAAGGAGCAGAAGTAGGTTGCCAATAAATCCTCTTGATTCTCTTCCCAGGGGTCTTTCTGCTCTTCCTCCTGGGCCAACAGGGCAAGCATTTTCCAAACAGTTCCTAAGATATTTAGAAAATTGTGTCACAAAAGGCTGGCATCAGAAGAGAGGGGGGGAAGGCTCACGTTGGTTAGGGATTCCCTGGGCGCCCAGGACTGTGCTGGTGCTTTTGCAAAGCCAGCCTCACTCCTCACAGGAACGGACGGCCGGGTTCTGCTGTGCCCATTTCACATACGAGAACATCGGGGTTTGCAAGTCACCCCTGACTTCCCTCAAGGTTGAGTAGCTGTTAGCGGAATAGCCAGGACTTGGCCTCTAGGCATGTTTTGTCTCTCTCTAGTTTTCACAGTCACTCTTGTGAGTGGAGAGAGTAAGAGCCAGAGAGAGCGAGAGCGAGAGTGATTTCCCAGGGGACTTAGCGCCAGCCATCCTCAGACAGCTCTGTTGAGATAGCAGGTCTCCTTTCTTCCCTTATTCAGGTCAAACGCTGTAACCACAGTCGCACTGCAGCCTGGATATCTTTATTATAGAAGGTTTCTGAGCGTTAGCCTCTGGCCCACTTATTTCCAAGAATATGTACCGTAAGAGTCCGGCAGCCGAAATAATTCTCTCCTCCCTCGGAGTTGTGGTGCCGGGCCTCTCTCGTGTTTAGATTCTTGTTTCCCCCGAAGACGCTCTGGGTGCCTTTTAAGCCATTTCTCTCTGTCTTGGGCAAACGTGACCTTGATCTTCAGCTGTGGGCGTGTGATGGGTGAGGAGGGGAGGGTGTCCTGATTTCGGCACCATTAAGTCAGCGACACTAGGCGGAAGGGAGGGGAAGGGGCTGGAGTCCCAGCCCTCTGGGGACATGAAGGCGACAGATTCCCCTCAGTTCCCCGGATGGAGACACAGTAAGACTGATTGGTTATGTGTTATACATCACTCAGCTCTTTCTCCTTGGAACACCCCATCCTGGGCCCCAGGACAGTGGGGTAGCGGTGACATCAGTAGGCGTTTGTGTCCCCCCTGCCCCTTGCCTCTGCGTAGAGACCTCCCTCCGAGTCCCAGCGGGATTGTCCCCCGGCACCCTGGTCCCCGCATGGCGTCCCACGTGCCCTCGTCTGCTCCGCGTGGAGGACACAGCCATGGAACTCCGTGCAGCTCACAGGCAGGAGCGTGGGCTCTGAGCTGGAAAGGCCAGGGTTCAAATCCTGCGTCTTCCGCGTCCTGCTTGCGCGACCTTGGGAAGCTGGTGAAGGTCATGAGTTTGAGGGGATTGCTCTACCCTCATTCGGGATGCGCTTATGACAGCGACGACTTCCTGCCCGCTCATTGGCCTCTGATTTCATAGGGAGAGGAAGCTGGAGGGGGCTCAGAGTCAGCCTCCCAAGGGCACATCCCGTCCCTGCCCCCACCCTGCCCTGTGGACTCCTGGTGAACTTCCCTCCTGACACGGACAATGTCAGGCTCAACCTGGCCCAAACACGTCTTGATTCAAGGTCACGGCCTCACTCCCACCTGTGTTCCCTCCGGGTTTCTTGTTAACCCTTCACCTGCACCCCTCCCACCGTTTAATTCACCCGTCCCCGAGAGATGTGCCCCCATCAGGCCCTCGCCCGCATGCTGCCGTCTGAGTTTGCGTCAGCGTCCTCTCTGCTGGCTCCATGGTGACGGCCTCCCGGGGGCTCCCTTCCCTCCACTTTTGTCCCTTACATTCATCCTGGCCCCGTTTCCAGAGTGACATTTTAAATACATAAAGTCAGTCGTGCTACCTCGCCGCACACGGCCCTCTGATTGCTTCCTGCTTTCCTTAGGATAGAAGCTACGTCCCCTCCTTCCTGCCCTCCGCCCCGGCCCCCTGCTGGGCCCGGGCCCTCTTTCAGCCCCTCAGCCCCTCGGAGCCCCATGCTCGCAGGTGGTTGGCGCCTCCTCATCCTTCACTCTGATGCCACCTTCTGAGCAAGACCCCCTGCCCCTCCACCCAATCTTCGTGGCGCTCTCCTCCTACTCCTGTCCCTCTTCATCTCCTCTTGTGGCTTCCTCGTCCCCCCCCAGCTCATATTTCTGGGGACTGGCTGCCAGCATCCTAAGTTCCTTCATGGTGCTCTGTCTTACCCCCCCCCCCGCGAGGAGGTAAACTCCCATAAGCGGGCCTTTGTGATGGTCACAGCTCGCTCCAGCGCCCAGGAGCACGCCAGCAATGGGCGGAGTATAGGGGGGACTCTAGTCTAACGTGGTCACTCTGTGGGCGGCAGGATGGATGTCCAGGGTGGAGAGCGCCCCGACCAAAATCTCACAGGTAAGCCCAGGGCCGAGGTCTCACATTCAGCTCTTGGCACTGTTTTTTTTTTTTTTTTTTTTTTTTTTAAATCATCATCTAAGGATATGTTTTATTGATTGTTTATAGAGAGAAAAAGGGGGAGAGAGGGAAACATCAATGTAAGAAAGAGAAATTGACCAGCCTCCCGTATACACACACCCTGCCTGGGACTCGAACCCGTTACCTTTGATGTGCAGGACCATGCTCCAGCCGACAGAGCGGCCCAGCCAGGACGGTGCTGTCTTTGGACACTCCTTCCACTGTGTTGCCCTGGTGACTTCCTGGGCTCTTCCTAGCCCAGCTCTCAGACTTCTGGGAGGGCAGGAAGGCGCAGTCCTGTTTGAAGGAAGGACATACGGGCAGGTGTCCTGTGCCCGGCATTGACATACAGCGCTGGACAAGAGGGACCGGCACACGGCAGCATCGCTGCTGAAATGTCACATGAACATGTGCCACGGAGGCAGCTGGTCTCCTGGAGCCTTCTGCTTGCCTCGCTCCACCTGCCCACCAGCCGACGGACCCGGTGCCCGCGCCGCGGCCTCTGACGGCTCCCGTCAACCCCTGTGCTGGTTTTGCATCTTAAACCACACGGCCCGAGTTTACATTCTGGTTCCACCACCTCCCTGTACATCCTGGCCGAGTTCCTTAACGTATCTGCATATCTGAGCCTTAACGTCCTCCTTTGGAAAATGGGATAATATGGTCGTTAGCCAGATGAAGATGCTAATGCCTGGGAAGCATTGAGAGAGGAAGGGAGGGGGGCGGGAGGGTGAGAGACAGAGAGAGAGAGAGAGAGAGAGAGAGAGGTAGACACATCAGTGATGAGAGAGAATCATGGATCGGCTGCCGCCTGCATGGTCCCTACTGGGGATGGAGCTCTGATAGAGAATTGAACCCTGACCTCCAAGTTCAAGGGTCAACCCTCAAGCAGTGAGCCACACCGGCTGGGCCTGGACTGAACTTGAAAGCTTGGCTATGATCTTGTCAGCCTTGCCTCCCAGAGACTGGGTCTGAAGCTGAGTAAGCACTGGAGCCTCCGGCTGTGTATCTCCTGGCCTTGGAGGTTAGACGGCGTGCCCGTGTTTTCCAGCTTTGTTTATTCTCAGTCGATTTTCTTTTCTCCCCCCGCCTCGAGGCTTCATTACTCCCCGTCTGTCCATATCCCTCCCCCCCATTGTTCTCGTTAGGGACAGCTTAGAAAATGAGATTAGTCCCTGGCTATTTTGGGTCATCATTAATTTCTGTCCCTCTCCATTCCTTAGCAGGCTGGCAGCCTCCCGTCTCCCCCTTGTTCCTTCTTGATGGATTGTCGCACGTCTCTCTCCTTCCCCACTTAACCCCGTGCCTCTTGGGGCTGCTGGCCTTGGTCCCGAGGGGCCTCAGGGACCATCCGTCGCCATGTTCTGGATTGGAGAGCAGAGGCGGTTACTCTACAGCACATGTGTCAAACACAAG